GGCGGGAGCCACGGCATGCTATCAGCCATCCCTAGTTGGGCACTGGGTACCCATACCCAGGGTCTTTCTAGTCCAGCAAGATGAATCCACAGCAAGGAGCAGCAGCAGCAGGTCCCCATCTCTACCCAGATGCCCAGCAGTCACTACCCAGTGATCTGCTCAGGAAGGCATACTGCTCCCATCCCTTGCACGTATCCCAGCACAGATGGGAAGGCCATCCATGTGTCCAGCCCATGTTATCCATCTTTGGGACAGATCTGGTCTCTTGTCCTGTGTCACTGGTATTCAGCGAAGACTAAAAAAAGCCATCACGCAGCCCCAGGACCACCATAGAAAAGGGGAAACTGGGAGCATCAGGCTTCTTCAGTGTCCCCTACATGCACAAGGTGAATGGATGTCACCAGGACCCACTGTAGCCGAGGCTCAGGCATCACCAGCCAACAGCCTGCAGGCACCAGGAGGTGTCGGGATAGAGATGGCAATGGAGTGATCGAAACCTGCTGGGGAGAGAGCAAAGGAAGGTCAGGTAACAGCTTTTACACCAAGTAGACAGCTGGAGAATGGAAGACCTCTCCTTCATGTCCCATCTCACATCAGGCACCCACTCTGCACTACAGAGCTCCAGGGCCGGTTGTTCATCTCAGGATGCCTTTTCTCAGCAAAGCCAAGTGACCAAGCCTCCCTCCAACACCTGAATCCAGCTCTGGCCCATGTAGCCCAAGCCCATGGCTCACTCTGATCACAGGCACTGCACCAGCCCCTGCTACATGGTTCTGTTGATGCTCTTTTCATCACCCAGCTGCTTCCCACCCCTGCTATCTCCAGCCAGGAGCTTCCTATCCATGCTCTGCAAACAACAACTTTAGGTTTGTTCACTCAAAGTAGAGAAAGTAAATCAAAGAACGCTTTTGTTTGCAGTCAGCCTGAAGTGAACCTTTTTCTCTTTTTCCCCCTCCAGTTTTCTCAGCAAAACAAAAAATGGAAAAGCAAGTAGAATTTCCTTCCCTGAGTTTAAAAGAACATTTCTGTTCCTGGCCCAGAGGTAAAAGGTTAGCTTGTTCAATCTCAAAATGTGAAATAAACAGCAATACTTTTGGTTCAGGAACAGTTCAAATAAAATGTTTTGATACTGCTTTTCTTCCCACTCACTCAAAAAGGTTTTCAAAGTTTGTAAGTGTTCACAAGCAGCTTAATACTGGTGTGACCCTCACCCAATAAGCCATGTGACTGCAAGGTTTCTGTCCCTCGCTGTAGACCTCCTGCACCCCACTTGGCTGCCTCCTCCTCCCAGGCTATTGTCTGAGGGCTCACACCACAGCAACACCCAGAGCATCCATGCCCCGTACCTTGAGGGATCCTCCTGGGGTGAGAAGGGGCCGCTGAGTTCAATAACATTGAGCTTGTTCTCAAAGACACCATAGCTAAGGGTGACCTGAAAAGGGGGGTGGTGAGAAAAGAGCAGGGAGGATGAGGTGAGTTCAGGGGCGAGAAACTTGCTTTGGGTGACAGAAACTCCCATTCTGGTTCCTTCTCTGCTGGCTTAGCCTCTGTCTTCCAAGTCTCTCCTGTCTTCCTTCCCATGACAGTCCACCGTGCTAGCCCTTTGCCTCTCCAAGCCCCCTACACCCCTCGTTATCTCCCCATGAAGGCAGGCATGGTGCCATGTCAAAGCCCCTTCCCCAATCAATCAGCATTTGTGTTTGCCCTTCTGCCACGCTCTCCTGGGGATGCCCTCAGCCCTCCCATCGCTCCCCATACACGTGCTCCCCACCACTGACCCCAGGGGCACTGTCACTGGCATCTGTGCCGTAGGCAACATCTTCTCCTTATTTCAAAGAAGCATTTGTCAGGAAAGCCTCCCCGAAAGAGCAGATGATTGATTCAATCCACATCAGTGCCACCAACGGAACAATGTGCCTGTAACCTCCCCTCCACTTTTCCTTCCTACTCACTACAAGAAGGACATTGAGCTGCTGGAGCGTGTCCAGAGAAGAGAGACAAAGCTGGTGAAGGGCCTGGAGAAAAAGCCTTACAAGGAACGGCTGAGGGAGTTGGGGTTGTTTAGTCTGGAGAAAAGGAGGCTGAGGGGAGACTTGATCGTCCTCTACAACTACCTGAAAGGAAGGTGTAGCGAGGTGGGGGTTGGTCTCTTCTCCCAAGTAACAAGAGATAGGACAAGAGGAAAGGGTCTCAAGTTGCGCCATGGGAGGTTCAGGTTGGATATTGGGAAGAACTTCTTCACTGT